CGAAACCGCCTTCCCTCGTACCCATGGCTTCGTCCGGCGTCGCCGGGGTTTTGCTGACAGCTGCCGCGAAACTGGCACAAAGGGAAGGGGAACCACAAATTGCTCCGTGTTTCCCCAAGAGCCTGTTCTTGAGATTTGGAGGAGAGCTGGGGTGCCAGGGAAAGGCAATTAACTGCAGGAATGATTGTACTCGTATTAGTTATGAAGGATCCGCTCCTATTTTTAAATAGTCTGGGGAAATTTCCCGACAAAGGGATCCCCCCAAAGACCCGTGAGGCTGAGATTGCCCGCTCCCTCCCTCCCCCCATCCCTTTTGTACAGCAATCTGGTTGGTGTGGAACAGGAGTTTTGAACAGGGACATTTAAAGAGTGGAGGAGTCTTTGTCTTGAGTCATTCTGGCAGGGAGGGAAGGGCTGATTTCCCAACCAGTCGCTGTCTTCCAGCACGACCGAGCTGTGATACGGTGACATCCAGCCCCCCAGCACGACACTCTCATTACCCCGGTCTCCCAAAAATGTTCGTGGGGGAACGTGTCATCTGTGGAGCCACTCTGTCCGCGAGCTGTGTGCACGGTGCCTCGCCCCTGTCATCTGGGGTTCCCTAAAGAGAAGGGATAAAGCCTTTTAGGTTTGAAAACAATAGTGAGCTTAAAGAGCAAAATGGATCAGAAAACCTGTTGGGGTTTTGTGCCAACGCTCTGTGGCACAGAAGCAATAAGTCTTTCCAGAGCTGAGCAGGAGCCAGTTTTGTGGCTTCCTCCAGGCAGGTTGTCCACTTTAGGCAAAACCTCGGGCACGTCTGGCAAAGGTCCTTTAGCCGCATCTCAGCAGGAGACCCGCGTCCCTGGATTCAGACAGACATCCTCCTCCTCCACAGAGGAGGGCAAGGTGCATGGGGGGGAACTGCCATGTTCCCACCCCACCGATCTGCTGGCGAGGGTTGGCCCCATCCCCATCGTTCGAAGGCTACATTTGCTCTGCAGAGGAAGGAGATGGACCCTGTGGTGGTTTTAAAGTCTGGCGGCCAAAATGACCACAGCTGATACTGCTGTGCTGAGGGGAGGGTGTGTTTCTTATTCTGCTGAGGCTGCTGGCAACTTTCTAGTATTACTGTCCAGCTGGTGATGATATGGAGGATTTGGGTCCTTGGCTTTCCCTGTGATCCTCTCTGCTGTCCTAGCAGGGAGAGGCATAGGGGTGGGAGGCGAGCGGCAGCTCCAAGGGACAGCTCAGTTCCTAATCTAGTGAAACTGGTAATCCTGGTGGGTTGTGGCAGCTCTGGGGGGCTGGACTCAGTTGGCCAGGCATCTCCAGGCTCCTGGACACAGACTAGATGGGAGGTCAGAAGTTGAGATGCAGACTGCTAGGAATTTATAAATCCAGCCCTGTTTTGGTTTGTAGCTTCGCTCAGTGGTTTAGGATCTGTTCCAGTCGGGAATAATCCAGTGTACTCGGGCCTCGCTTCTCCAGTCCCAGAGGACAGGAGTAGTTAAAACCTGAGAGAGAGCTGGATGGACGGAGTGCAATTCCCTGTGTGCTTCCCAGGGTCAGGAGCCTCTGCAGACCTGTGGGATGGGTTGAAGCGAGACGGGCGCCTTGTCGGGGTCCCATCAGACTGCTGGGCAGCACGGGTCTGCTGGCAGAGCGTGGAAACATCTCTCCGGGCTCTAGGGTATCTGAGCCCCTTTGCTTTTGTGAGCAGGAAAATGATGCGGCTAAAAGCAGGGGGAGAAGGGAGGGAATTGGTTTCTTCCCGCTTGTCTCCTCAGGTGCTTGTCTGCATGTGGGCTATTTACGTTATTTTTTTTCCCCTTCTACCTGCTTAGAAGATTCCTTGTTAGCATTGTGTGAACGAGCCCGACATGAGGGAGTATAAATCAGGATGGATGAAAATTCCCTGTAGTCAGTTTTTCCTTGGCCTCTTCAGTGTCATAAGGAAATGTTCATTTAATTATAAGCATCAGGGGTAGAAATAACTACATTAAGCCCTCAAGGGGAAGCTGCCGGCGTCGAGCTGCAGATCAGAGCGCACAAAAGTTTTTTCACTCACTTGGCGTGGGAAGAAGCTCTGGTGTTTCGTGGGTGCCGGAGTGAGCGGCGGCAGCCCTGCTGCAGGGCGAGGGGAGAGGGGCTGCGGGTAAGGAGCATCACGGCCCGCAGCTGGCGGTCGGCTGAGCTCGCTTCCCGTTCTCGCTGGCTGTTCAAACACGTAATCCCAAAAGAATGGAGAGAGGCTATTTGTCAGCCACGCGAGCGCAGCCCGCACAGAGGCAAAGCAAACACGTGTGTTAGTGTGTTCAGAGGGCCAGGGATGCTGGCAAGGAAGATACACCCTGCTGGGGCTCGGGCCAGCCCCCCACCGTCCCCGTGCCTGGTTAACCCCCATTGTGGTTACCAGGGTTTGGATGCACATTCTTGTTTTGAGGATGATTTTTTACTGTTGGGAAGGCAGCTTTGCAGCCCTTCATCTGTATGACAGCCGCAACCACTTTTTTTTTGCTCTTCCTCTCCTGCCTGGTGTGTTGTGAAGGTAGTCAGGACTGGTACGTGTGCCCCGGGACTACCAAACCTTTGCATGAGCATTTTTGCCTAGGAGGCATGAGGTGGTTTGGAGAGTGGAGCCTGTCCGGGGTGAGGCTGCTGCGTGGCGTGCCAGCGTGTGGCGGGGTGCTCGTCGCTGCGCTGCTGCGGGGGCTGGAGCAGGGTGGGACCGTTCTGTGCTCAGTGAGTTTCAAAGACCTTTTGGGTGTAAAAGGCTGCTGTTATATTTTGACGGGCGACCGCATCTCGAGGGAAGTCCCTCCTGCACCTGCAGTACTGCTTGCTCTGCCCGGGCAGGGAGGCTTTGAAGACCTCTATTTGGTGTGCTGGAAATCAGACTGAGCGCCGTGGGGTACCTGGTCCATGTTGGGACGGAGCGAGAAGAGGAAGCACAGGCCTGGTGAGGTGATTTTTAGCAGACAGATGAAATGCTTTGGGCCTTCGAGAGGGCAAAGGAATCTGTGGGCTGTGTTTTTCTCTTAGATCAGTGGCTTTCATCCTGTGGTCTATTAACCCCTGGGGGCTGTGGGCTGCTTTGAGGAGGCCTATGAAAGGTAACTGAGGAAAGAAAATTCACTTCTGCTGTATACAACTGTCTACCCAGTGCTGTTTCCCCAGGGGCTGCATCTCCCCCCCGCCCCCGAGCTGGGAACTGCCACTGTCG